TATATACACATATCCAGTATGACTTTGTAATTTAACACCTTGAAATTGGGCTTTCAAGGTGTTTATGAAATTCCACTATCAGGAAGTAATCACAACAGTGCTCCTCTATTATCCCCTTAGCAACATTTTTACCAGTGTTGCACTAAAAGGTAGCTCATATAATGAGCTCAGCAGATGCACAGTTTCACCAGGTGATTGCTAATTGGTGCTGACTAGTCTGAAGGAGTCCGGGGAGTCGTCGGGGAGGGATGCTCTGTAAGGCATGAAGCTCAGTCTTGTAATCTTGGTTCCACCAAGCGTTTTTCACAGCTGAATGTCTGCTATGGGACATTAAAGGATTTCTCAAACATGCATGAAAAAAAATCAAGGCAACACTCCAGGTATGTTTTTGATGAGGGAATAACATAATACATTATGTAAAGCTTTTACATAATACTTCCCCTTTAAATTAAGTGTTCATCTTATTAATCAGATAAGGTAACTAGTTTGATCATAGTTGTCCTCAGACATCTGTCAGTTTTTCACATCTCTCTATTGATTATAGATTATGATTTATTGAGTCAATGATTAGTGACGTGCACCCCCTGCCATGAGGCAAGAAAACTGCCTGCCTCACCTCCAATCTATTCTCTTAAGTTTCTGATCACTCCTCAGCACACGAAACACGTTACACATACAGTTGGTGACAAAAAACACAGTAAATTATATAAATATGCTAAATTATGTAAAATCAGTTCATATATTAAATGTTTTTTAACAATTTTATTGGTGGCATATGTCATGATGTAGCGGTGTATGGTGGTGAGAATGAACGCAGAGGACCCAGGTTGAAAGATGAAGGATGAATTTATTGGAAGCAACTCCAAGATCACCATCCAAGAAAAGTCCAAGAAAACAGGCAGCACAGTGAGCGGAGATAAAGCTAACACTGGTAGCGACTGATCAGGAGAAGACTGCACACGAGAGCTGACGCCAACACAGGACTTAACAGTTCAACTGTGCCGGCAGACAAACTATCATTAGACAAGACTTAACATACGACATACGACTATCATTAGACAAGACTTAACATACGACATACGACAAGGATCCGACAAGAGACAAAGACAACAGGTGGACTTATATACACAGGGAGGATAATCAGGGAATGAGACACACCTGGGAACCAATCAACAGGGAAGACAGGACAGGGACAGGACTAAACACAGAAAACCTGAAAAATAACTACACAGAAAACACGGCAAAAACAGCATACAGAGAGGAATATGTTCTTGTCGAATGGCAGCCAGTGCAGTTAGTGAGAGGTTGGTAATCCCAGGTGAGGCTCAGCTCGCTGTTGCCTCACCAGCTGCGCTTCTGAGCATTTTAATAGGAAATTGTGAAAATTCAGCAATTTTGAAGAAAAAATAATCAAAATTGGTTAAGTTAAATGAAAAATAAATACTTTAAAGTGCAAACCACAGGGTGAAAATATCAATATAAATGATCTTATCATTGTATATTATTTTTCCACAATGACAGGCCTCCCCTGACCACATGTCACTGGGTATGATTGTGGGTAATGCCCTCTACATGGAGAGTAAATGTGATCTTTTGTTCAGTGATGGTGATCAGATAGAGTTGCATCTATTGGTTTATTGGATCAATAATGGATCTCCTGTGTCTGTAAATATAAAACTATTTATCAGTAAAGAGGAGACTTCTACTACCTGCATTCACAGCACACCAATCTGATCCAATTGTTTCTTCAGGGCCAGGCCAAGGTGGTGGATGGGTGTGGTCAGCACCTACAGCAGCTGTCTTTGTTGGATGAGGACAGGCAGCGCCTCTTGCTGCTAGAGGAGGAGAAGCAGCGAGTAGCAGCACTGCGACAGATGCAGATAGAGTCAGAACAGTTTCGCTACTTTGAAGATCAGCTGAGGCGTCAGGAGCTGGCTAATAAGAGAGGAGAGGAGGCAGCGCTGAAGGTGCTGCATCACTACTTAGATTTCCCTATTATACGCCATAGTGAAGTAGTGTCTCTATTATATTGTAGCTGTATAGTAATATGTATGGTAATGTTTTTCTTTTGTTTAGTACTGTGAAATACCATCTGGTATTTTATTGTACCCATTAGTATTGTTTAGTACTCAGTAGAACTGCTTTACTGTGCATTATTTAGTAATACTCTAAGATAATTATCCTGTGGTAATCTCTAGTAGTGTTCTCTAGTACTGCACAGTACCTTTTTAGAAATTGAAAATACATTGCAATAGTTTAGTAATACACAATTCTCTGTAGTACTCTGCAGTACTATGTGTTGTACCCTTTGTAATATTCTGAGTGGTACTTTGTAGGGGTCTGTGTGGTAATGTATTATACTATGTATCTGCAGTACATAGTGATGCTGTATGTGGTTTCCTGCAGTTGCAGACCAAAGTGCCTGAGGTCCCAGCTGGCTGCTGTTTGTCTAAGCAGTCGATCAAAAGCAGCATATATTCTCAGAGGGTGGACCCAAACAGAAACAGGCCTGTGACTGTGACCCAACCAGTTGCTGCGTTAGCAGGAATACACAGTGAGTACACACAGCTGCAAATGGTTTTTCTGCTCCCAATGCTAATTCAATCTGTCTGAAACCAAGCTGGGTCAGACTCGGAGGGAGTTCTCAAACCTTTGGTGTTTGTTCCTAAGGAATCGCCGTGCAAATCTCAAACATGGTAGCATAAACAGAGCTCTAAGGCTTCAGTGTGAGTTGATTTCATCTGTGCAGATAAGAGGGTGGAGGGTCTGAGGCGGGTGGTGATTCCCAGAGATCTGACGCATCGGTTCCTCCTGCTGGCTGACTCCAATACGGCCAGAGGAATAGAAACCTGCGGTGTCCTCTGTGGACGGTTGGTGAGTTTTTGGGTAGAAAGGAAAAATGTTCCTCGCCAAAACAAGAAAACAAAACTTGATAAGGTTCTCTCTGACTGTGTATGTCTCTCAGACCCATAACGAATTTGTGCTGACTCATGTGGTGATCCCAAAACAATCAGCTGGACCGGATTTCTGCGACATGGAGAATGTGGAGGAGCTGTTTGGATTCCAGGACCAACAGAACCTGCTGACAGTGGGGTGGATTCATGTATGACGACACATTAATAAGGCACTTTCTAAAGTATTTAGATGTTCTGTTCTTTTTAACGATAGGTTCTTATACAAAGCACTATGTGTCCTCTCACAGCCCACACCCACTCAGCCCTAACTTTTAAAAGGACCTCAGTTTTTCCCTCTGTTTCCGCTTCATTTGCATCAGCTTGTATTACTCTGGCAACAGCACAATACGGCACAATCCAGCAAGAGATGAGAGGAGTGAGAGTGGACCAGAGATAGGAACAGAGGCATAGTAGTGTCTTTCTGCAATTGTATAAAAGGCTCCAAAGTCAGTGATTTATAGTTTTCAGTTATTATTTGATGCATTTTAATTATTAATATGTGTTTTATGTGAGTGTTGATTGGTGGGATTGATTGGCAGCAACTCACCAGCTTCTCTGTGACGTCTCTCATATGAGAGACGTCACAGAGAAGCTGGTGAGTTAAGGTTTTGATGTTGGGCTGTAGGGGAGCTCATTCCATCATGTGTGCATAAATGACAAGTGAACATTTTAGTTTTATCAGCTGTGATGTGGTTGCATAGTATTATGACTGTTTATTGCATGTGTCAGTTTGTGAATATATTTAGAAGTTTATTTACTTTACAAATGGCGTCTGCTCCGGATGAACGCTGGTTGATTACCCACTTGACTAACCTCCTTCCTCTGTTGAGTTAAATGTATTCCAGTTGTTTTATGATTCTTTGTTTGTTGATTGGTTTGGGAACATTATCAACCACTGTACAGTAAAGCAGCAACTATAATTTACTTCAGGTTTTTAATCCAATATTTGCCGCTAATTCTGCAATGGAAATGTCCCTTTGGATTTTTGAAATAAGAGTCAAGTACCCGAAGTATATTGTTTATACTGATGGTAACTTGATATGAAGAGAATAAGATGATAATGTGATTGTAAAACTTGTTTATTTTGTTTGGAAACAACTGGTGAAAGTTGAAGTTTAGGTTTATTCATATTTATAGTTTATTTACGTATTTATTCGTACTTTTGTCGTATCTGTTATTTCTTCAAAGAAACCATACACTTGTTTGTTAAAGTGTGAGTACATTAAAGTACTGTAGCAAACCAAGATCAGCTTCACAATTACTTTCTACTCCCATTCTCTGAAGTGCTTTAAGAGATGCTCTGGCAGGCACTCAAGTATGAATTTAGTGACACCACCCTGAAATTAGTGTTTGTAGTAAAAACAGTGTTTCCTCCCCTTCAGCATAGTGTCAGTTTAAAACAATTCCAATAACATGCCAATGTCAGTATGATGCAATATAATATCTCAAAGACATATGCCTCCAATTCATATCCATATCCATTTATATAAATACCAAAGTAGTGCAGTCCAATCTGGATATATTCAGATTACATTCAAATCACTTAAATTTAATTGTATTTATGGTGAATCATATGCCAGCTGGTAGAAAGGAGGCCCAACTCATTTCAGTCACTGACTTTGCGGTAATCTTTCCAGCACAGTGAGGAATTGTTAGTAAGGTGTTTCATCTCCCTCTTGTCAGAAATCAGAGCACAGCCAGGTCCGTGTCCTCACTCTGCTCAGGGACAGAGGCTTTGTGTCAGTAGGGTCTAAAATTGTTCAGTCAAAGCAGATGACATTCCATCCTCTCTTAGCTGTTGGTTTCATTGTGTAACCTTTGTGACATCTGGAGATACTGTGGTTCTGTTGTTTCTCTGTCCTCTGGCTTGTGTTGTAGTCTCTGTCACTAATAACTGACCTGTGCACTCAGACCCATCCCTCCCAGACTGCATTCCTGTCCAGTGTGGACCTCCACACTCACTGTTCCTACCAGCTGATGCTTCCGGAGGCACTGGCCATCGTTTGTGCTCCAAAACACAATGAGTATGTGTATGCTAACTCTTTGGACTTCATTTCCTATGAGACTTTTTAGCCTCCTCACTGACCCTAGTTGTGTATCTCAGTATGGGTGTGTTCAGACTCACTGGTGCGGGCATGTTGGAAGTTTCTGGATGCAGACAAAAAGGTTTCCATCCCCACTCCAAGGAGCCTCCTCTGTTCACGGTGAGAGACTCTTCTTGTTCCCATCTTTATCTTGTTACATATGCTAAATATTTTTGTCCTATGTCTCGGTAGGAGGAGACTATGTTTCACGGGTTCCCAATTACAGTCCCTCTTATGAAAGAGGGACTGTAATTGTTGCAGCTACTACTAGCCTGCAACTTTTAGTTGCATTCTTGTTCCAGCATACTTCTTACCTTTCTCACCAGAGGCCAGGATAGCAGCTTTTGAGGATTGTACTTTAGTTTGTCAGTTCATTGTTCATAGATTTATTAGTGCAGAAAAATTACTCAGTTTTTTTTTTTTTTTTTCCTTTCACAAAAAGTTACTCAAGTAAATGTACGGTTGTACATTTACATACATTTATGTACATGTATGTACATACATTTACATACATTTACTTTTGAACATGAATATTAACAACAACGAGGATCGGTCTCCAAATCTGAGGCCATCATTTTGAGCTGGAAAAGGGTGCCCTTTCTAGGTTGGGGAAGAGGTCATAGTTCAAGAGGAGGAGTTTAAGTTTCTTAGCCTGTTGCAGTGAAGAGAGAGCAAAGTCAAATGGCAATAGCTCTCAATTTAGCGACCAATCTATGTTCCTACCCTCATCTATAGATCTATAGGCATGAGTTTGGGTCTTGGCTGAAAGAATGAGATCATGGATACAAGTGAACAAAATGAGTTTTCTCTGCAGGGTGTCTGAGCTCTCCCTTTGAAATAAGATTTCTCACCCCAGTTTCTAACCCTATCTCTGAGTGCAGTTGCTGGTGCTATCAGTTAGCCAGAGGGACTTAGGCCCTGTTTACATGACAACAATTTCTGGTGAAAACGGAAGAGTTTCGTTGTCTTTGCACTGTACATTTACACAAAAATAGTGAATGTTTTCTCTGGCAACAGCACAGTTTGGCTTCGGCGAAGTTGTCCCACTTTCTTCACTTTTTTGCAACTACGCACTCATCAGACACACAAACACACATACGTAGTGTGTGTTCCCCCAGATACTGAGGGAACAGTATCTGATGATGAAATGCAAATCCACATAACAACGGCTTTCAGGTAGAACTTTTTTTTAACGCATGTGCACTTAGTTCCAAAGCACCTAGCACCAACTAGTGGCGTGTTGAGGGCATTGCACCTTTTCAATGTGTACCGTTACTGTGTAAACAAAGATGAATGTCTTCATGTAAATGGTTTAATAGAAATGGAACAAAACTTCCATTCTCATTGGATCATTGTCATGTAAACAGGGCTTTAGAGTAGATCCACCGCTTCTCCACGCCAAGAGAAGCCAGTTGAGATGGCTTGGGCACCTGTTAGGATGCCTCCTGAACCCCTCCTTGTTCAGGTGCTCCAGGCATGTCCCACCAAGAGGAAACCTAGAGAAGTCTTAGTCTCTCCAAGACACACTGGAAAGGCTAAGTTTCTCGGCTGACCTGGGAACGCATTGGGATTCATCACAGGAGCTGGCCCAAGTGGTGGGGGAGAGAGAAGTCTGAGCCTCCTTACTTAGGCTGCGACATTTGTAAGCCAATCCCAGATAAGTGGAAGAAAATGGGATAGATGAATTTATATCCGTGCACATTTTCAAATCTGTTTTAATTTAATTAGATTTAATGGAGTTTGACTCACCTGCTGCCTTTCATAACTCTAGCCCCTCTGGTCTTCTCAGGTCTGTAAGCACGTGGTGGTCAGGGACTACAAGCTCAACCTGTTGGACCTCAGATGACAACAGAAGGGCAGTGCTTTCCTTCTTACTGCCATGCTTTTGTGCTAAAGAGGAAGCTGTAAGCTCATTGCCTCAGCGTTTGTGTGAACCTATCGGCTGCTCTCACAGTGGCACATCTGTTTTTCTGCTTCTTGTATGTGATGCAGTAGACTGGGTTTTCTGTACCTAAAAACACATCAGAAGTCATCAGAAGATTGAGTCCCTTCACATTGACACGTACAGTATAAATTATACTGCAACCCTATGAACTTTATATGAACATATATTTCCTGAATCTGCTGTGAAATATTTTTTTTACTCGTTTTAAACACAACAGATGGGATTTTCCCTATAGTGATGTTAGAAAAACACCAAAACCTTTTGAAAATACTGTGTTTTGTTTTTTACTCTTCAATTTTTGATCCTCTGAAAAGCTCAGTAACCTGCAGCTGATCTGTTCAGACTTCGCATCCATGAGACACAAGAACAGTCAAATTCATAACTGAAGATCATAGTCAGTCTACAGGTTCCCTTTTGTGTTCATGGTTTTACCTCAAATTAACAGGCTAGTTGCAGTTGCATTAGACCCCATACAGCTCTGCCTGACAGGCTATGCCTGAAAACGGTACTCAGGGCTTTAACAATGCTGTATATGCGGCCGACTGCAGCTTTCTGAATGACTCAGCTGATCCAGTTAGTGTTCTGAAAGAATAAATATAGTTCATTCTTGATGTGGCAAAGTCAAAATGAGGCCCTAATGTTTCAGTTTGTCACCATAGAAACATCAAGTCTGCTGGTCACTCTTGTCATGATGGGTTCTAGTTTTCTAACCCACATGCAGAAACACCAGGTGGAGAACAGAAATCAGTTAAATGGTTTACTGTAAGAAACAGAACAATAATCAGAGCAGTGGGTCCTGGGGATGACGGCAATCAGGGTCAGTGGATCACTGGAGTAGGAGAGAGGAGGTGGTGAGTTTGAGGGTTGTAGAAAAAGGCAGTTTCGAAACAAATGGACTGGTCTTACTTGTGTTGGAGGTGCATTTGATCCCGGGAAGGGTTCACTGAGGTTACCAGGTAGTGGTCACGATGGAGGGCTTGCTGCTTAGGCCGACGGGTGGACAGCGGTGTAGGGCCGGCAGGTAAATTTCAAGTTTCCGGCGGAGAGGAGCGAGGGAGACAGCCAACTGAGAAATCCAGGAAGGTTTGGTTAACTGCGGAGGTGTCAGTGGAATTCGGGCAACCAGTGGGTAACATCCACGGCGTCACAAGGGAAGCAATGCACAGAGAAAGCCAGGAGCTTGGGCAACTAGTGGGTAACATCCATGGTGTCATGAGGAATCACCTGAAGAGGAGGCACACTGAGATATTACTTGGAGGTACTCAATGAGGAAAACACAGAAAGATAACACGGAGGCCTGATGTACCAAACATTGGCTAACACTCTGGCAAAGGAGTGTTGGCCGTTCGCTCCTCATATACTCCTCCAGATGATCTGACAATTTGCAGGTGTGCAGGTAATCCAAGAACTAGGTGCCCTCTGGTGGTGAAAAGGGGAAAACAGCAGCAAAACCCAGTGCACCACCCCGGTTCCCAACAACTCTGAGCTGACTGGACCGCTCACACCATGGTAACTCTTAGTCCACCGGTCACCTATGTCAACAGCAAAATCTGAAATAATGTAAAACTATTTACTGCCAAAGAAACAGTATTTTCAGTTATTTCTACATATACCTAGCCTACCTACACCCAAGTAATAATAATAGATCTTTACTTAATTACTTTTAATTAGAACTTTAATTTTAGGTGAGGGTTAATCACATTTTAACTTAAGCAGTATGTGTTGACAACATTGAGTTGGGATTTTGTTCTGTACCCAGATTGCACATGATGGCAATTCAACATTGAATTAAAGTCTTTTGCAAACAAGCCAACAGTGAAGTGGCTGTGTGGTTGGGACATCTCACTCATGTAAATAGTTGGGATGGACCGCTCCACTCCTTGTAGTAAGATGTAGATGTTTTTGTGTCAATATATCACACACAAACAGTAAGTAAGAATTTTTATGAACAAGTAAGAAAATGTACAGAAAAGAATTCGCACCCACTATACTCTACAGTGCTTTTAAAAATGTGATAACCCTCCCTCAGTAATAAAATGCTCTCACCCAGAGCTCCGATGAGGAGAAGATGGGAAGGGGTGTGACAAAACAGCATACATTGATTCAACATTGATCAGACATTGGCATTTCATTCATTAGATTTCAACCACAAAACATTGATTCAATGACACAGTTTCAGCAGCTAGAATTGGATGGTTGTTTGATGATTGATCCACCGTCAGTTTTCGACTT